GTGTACTTCAGGTGGACATTTTTTTCACTGTTGATTAGGCAACGTGTTCAGTAATGGAAACTGATGGATGAAAAAAGATATTGTCAATAAAAAACAAAAATAATAATAAACAATTCTGATATCATGGATAGAGCCACCAAGCTGCCTCATTCAGTCAGAAAAATATTAATTGCCAAAAAGGAACACACATTCATGCACATAACTTTGTGACTTATCATTATTATTAAAATGTTATATGTGTTTGTGATTTCTTCTTTCCAAACAGAATTTTCACAACTGAAAACTATATAGATTCTTTAGGCTTTTTGTTTTCGAGACAGAGTCTTGCTCTGTCACCTAGGCTGGAGTGCAGTGGTGTGATCTATTTAGTAGATATAATGGCTTATATCCGAAAGACAGGCAATAATAAATGTTGGGAGGATGTGAAGAAAAGGGAACCCCTGTACACTGTTGGTGGGAATGTAAATTAGTACAAATACTATGGAGAACAGTTTGCAGATTCCTCAAAAAACTAAAAATTGAGCTACCACAGGATCTAGCAATCCCACTGCTGGGTATCTACCCAAAAGAAAGGAAATCAATATATTGAAGAGCTATCTGCATTCCCATGTTTGTTGCAGCACTGTTCAGGACACTCAAGATTTGGAAGCAACCTAAGTGTCACAGGTGAATGGATAAAGAAAATGTGGTACATATACACAATGGAATACTATTCAGCTATAAAAAAGAATGAGATCCTGTCATTTGCAACAGGATGGATGGAACTGGAGATCATTGTGGTAAGTGAAATAAACCAAAGAAAAACAAACATCTCATGTTCTCACTTATTTGTGGCATCTAATAATCAAAACAATTGAATTCATGGACATACAGACTAGAAGGATGGTTACCAGAGGCTGAGAAAGATAATTGGGGGCTTGGGGAAGTGACAATGGTTACAAAAAAATAGAAAGGATGCATAACACCCAACCATTTGATAGCACAACATGGAGACTGTAGTCAGTAATTTCACTGTATATTTTAAAATCATGAAAAGAGTACAATTGGATTGTTTGTAACACAAAGAATAAATGATTGAGGGGAAGGATGCCCTATTTCCCATGATGTGATTAGTATGCATTGCACGCCTGTATCAAGACATCTCATGTACTTCATAAATATATACACCTATTATGTATCCACAGAAATTAAAAATAACTTTCCCAATTATTTGTAATTATTTGTACAGCCATTGAAAACGGCTGTATTGTCCCACTGAAATTATTTTTTCCTTAGTGCAGAATCTGGGAAAGGCCTCAAATGTGCGTCATGGGAAACTGATTTTAATAATGCATCTCTAGTTGTGCACGTGTTTAGGGACTGACTCATGGTAACTAAAGTCAACAGAAACTTCTTCCTCTCACCAAGTTCCTGGGAGGTTGACTTCTTGCTAATGGAGTCTGCTATGGAGTCTGTACCTGAGCCAGTAGAGACAGTCGTGAGGGGTATTTTTGGACATCACAATTTAGTGCTTTCCCTTGGAAGGTGCTGGATAAACACCGCTGAAAATTCCTGTTCTTTGGGTACCCCCTTTCTAGGATATATATAGACTATATTTCCTGCCTGGCCTTTTTTTTTTTTTTTTTTAGATGGAGTCTTGCACTGTCACCAAGTGTAGTGAGTGGCACGATCTCAGCTCACTGCAACCTGCACCTCCCGGGTTCAAGCAGTTCTCCTGCCTCAGCCTCCCATGTAGCTAGGATTACAGGTGCTCACTACCATGCACAGCTAATTTTTGTATTTTTAGTAGAGACAGGGTTTCACCATGTTGGCCAGGCTGGTCTCGAACTCCTGACCTCAATTGATCCACCCACCTCGGCTTCCCAAAGTGTTGGGATTACAGGCGTGAGCCACTGTGCCTGGCCCTCGCCCTGTCTTTAAGACTTTAATCATCTTAATGATCAGATCTGGATACTGCCTCCAAGTGTTCCCAGCAACATACTTTTTTCCTTTCCTCTTAAGCTCCAACTTCTCCCCTTTATACATCTGTATTCCTCATAGTAAAATAAACACTAATTATGCGGCACCAGGACTGTCTGCTATATTTCCTTGCCTGGAACAACAGCTCCTTGAGGGCAGGGATCATTTTTTATCATCATACTCATACCCAGCTACTGCCTGGCATACAATGGATGCTCAAAAAACTTTGCAAAATGAATGAATGAACAGTAGACTTTGTCTAATCTCATGTATCTATTCATACTATTTTCACTTGGAGAAGGTGACTTCTTACAAGTCTTAATGAAAACTTACTTCACCCATTATGTACTAAGGGATCCACTTTTCACAGCCTGATGAAATATACTTCTTAAGGTGTGCACAGTTTTGGCTGCTTTTCAAGCTGGACTTGCTCAATGCTTTGGTCATCTTCCCTGCAGCTAAGTGCCAAAATGTCACAAATTGCAGCTGGTTCCTTGTTTCTTTCCAACAACTATCTCTCATCTTACTGTTCAAACTATGTTCTTAGTTAAATGTATACCTGAGAATGACAGAGGCATGTTATGAAGAGGCAAAATATGTCCCTAAATGGACCTTTGTCCTTAAATAAACCTGGCTGGTTTTTAAAAAAAATCTTTCTTTCAGCCTTATCCTGAAAATCAACTTGATTTCATACTAATTAATAAAAACTGATATGTTTAACAGGAGGTTAATTACTAGCTAGGATGAACAAATGCAATAGAATAACTGCCTCTGAAATACCAAGTAATTGCTGACAAACTGAAAGGACTATCTGAATTGTAATTTGGAGAAGGGAGTTGATTTTAATAGAGTTTTAAAAATTCCTAGTAAAGGGTCGGGTACGGTGGCTCAGGTCTGTAATCCCAGCACTTTGAGAGGCTGAGGTGGACAGATCCCGAGGTCAGGAGATGGAGACCATCCTGGGTAACACGGTGAAACCCCGTTTCTACTAAAAAATACAAAAAGAAAAAAAATTAGCCAGGCATGGTGGCAGACGCCTGTAATCCCAACTACTCAGGAGGCTCAGGCAGGAGAATGGGGTGAACCCGGGAGCCGGAGCTTGCAGTGAGCTGAGATCGGCCACTGCACTCCAGCCTGGGCGAGAGCTAGACTCCTTCTCAACAACAACAAAATTCCTAGTAAAGAATTCAGCTGTCATACTTTGAAAATTAATCCTAGAGTTAAAGCTAGTTGAGCATTCACTGTCAGGTTGGAAGTGCTGACCAACGAACTTTTTAAGTTAAATAAAAGCTGTTGTAATAATATTTAAGTTATGCCAAATATTTTAGATATTAAAAAAGTTGTATTTACAATTATGTTGTTTAATCCTCAATATATTACCAAATATATAGTTTATTTAAAGATGGGAAAAATTAAAATCTACTTGTGTTTGAGTTCTAATCCTATTCTGCTATGCAAATCTAATCCTGATTTGCATAGCAAACTCAAGATTAGATTGTAATGCTGCTAAATGCAACATTATAATTATGCATTTCACTAAAACTGTGTAATTTGTGAGAAAGTTCTTTCTACTCCCTCTGCTCCTTTTGTTCTTAATTCTAAGGCCAAATTTTTAGTTTAGATTTTTAAAGTAAAAATCGAACACCTATTCAGTTAAATTTGTTTTTATGTCATAAATCATTACTCGTTGGAACACAATATTCAGTGAAGGCTTTTTTTTTTTTTTTTTTTTTCTGATATGGAGTCTCACTCTGTTACCAGGCCGGAGTGCAGTGGCCTTATCTGGGCTCACTGCAACCTCCGGCCTCCCGGGTTCAAGAGATTCCCCTACCTCAGCCTCCCGAGTAGCTGGAACTACAGGCGTGCACCACCACGCCCAGCTACTTTCTGTATTTTTCGTAGAGACAGGGTTTCACCACATTGGCCAGGATGGCCTCTATCTCTTGACCTCGTGATTTGCCTGCCTCGGACTCCGAAAGTGATGGGATTACAGGAGTGCACCATCGTGCCCGGCCTCAGTGTAGACATTTTTTTAAAGCCAAGAAAGTCATAAGTATTGCACAAGTTATACACGTATCTGAATTTACATGCACACATAGATATCAGTTCATCAAACTCACTCTCCTGTTTAAGATATGACCAGAGGCTTGTAACGACGATGTAGAATTCTAAGACAGCACAATAAAACAATCATAAATTATGTAACCATTTCCCTTTGCCAAGTCTAGCAAAGTGGATGGAGCAGGAAGAAAGATGTTCATGATAATCCTATTTCATATAGATTAAGGTTGGATTAGGGTGCAGCCATTCAGATAAGAGGAGGGGTATTAAATTATCCGAGGGTCTCATTTGGTTACTTTTTAAAGGCTAAAGACAGCTGAAAGTCATTGGACACCTTTGTAGCCTTGTCATCTGCTCCTGGCCAGATCTGAGTTGGGAAAAACCAGCCTCAGAGCGACTCCAACCCTGGTTTCAGCTTCAACCCAGAAAAGCGGATCAAAACGACAGGTTCCACGAACAAACACTGCGCCAGCGCCTCTGTTTTGGAGAAAAGAAAAAGGGCGTGAGGTTTCGGTCATTTTTGTCCGAGGAAATCAGATGAAAAGGGGTGTACAAAGGACCAAGTCTCGTGAGCGCAGCCAATCTTGTCCGCTCCCCAGCGACTCGGGCTCTTGGCAGGACTCTTGCCGCAGAGTCCCTGACGGAGTTAAACCACTGAGGCCTTCAGCGTCCCAGGAAGTAACAACACTGTCGGCAGGTGGGGGAGGGCTTCCGGGAAGATATCCAACAGAGGCGCCAGGCAAGAGGACAGAAATGCTCCTTTCATTCACCTTGCGAAGCAGAGCATTTGGTCCCCGTCGGCGTCTGACTCTGTTGTGGCAATCTAGATGTTACCAGAGTTCCCGTGTTTCCTTCGTATTCAAAGGCACAGGAAATCTGGGGTGCAAGAGGACTGCTGTCTCTCAAGGAATAGGGAAAGAGGACTGCTGTCTCTCAAGGAATAGAAGTCTGTGACAAACGATAAAATGCTTATGCTGAACAAGATCCGCTTTCTGCGTTCCTCCTCTATCCAGCCTTGATTCTCCAGATGCTTCCCAACTTATTAATATTTGACTCAGCTGCACGGCTTTCAACCCGCGCTTTTGTTAGAATACTTCTATTTTCCCCTTAAAGCAATGCCCACACTCAGTTAGCTTGGTAAAAATGTTAATAACGCACACTTTTAAAAAGGCGATAACCGTTGCTTGCATAAAGTGGCCATTTGAATACACTTTGGGTCTGATTTAGAGATTTAGGGGTGGATGTTTAAACAAAAAAGCAAAAGTAGTAACAGACTACAGCATTGGTAATGTGTGTGTGCATATATACATATTTAAAAAAAATAATAAAGTTCGATTCTTTCACCTGGCTTGTCAGTCACCTATGCAGGCGTCTGAGCCCCAGGGTTTCCAGGAGCCCCCCGTATAAGGACCCCAGGGACTCCTCTCCCCAGGCGGCCAGGCCACCCGCCCAGCCCCCAGCCCGGAGCGCTGCCACCGACGCCCTCAGCGTCCCAAGCCCCAGCTCTGTCGCCCGCGTTCCTTCCTCTTCCTGGGCCACAATCTTGGCTTTCCCGGGCCGGCTTCACGCAGTTGCGCAGGAGCCCGCGGGGGAAGACTTCTCGTGGGGACCTCGAGCACCACGTGCGACCCTAAATCCGCACATCTCCTCTGCCGCCTCGCAGGCCACATGCACCGGGAGCCAGGCAGGGCAGGTGCCGCCCGCAAGGACCCCCAGCGATGGAGATGCCACACCTCCGCGACTGCACGTGGGGCCACCCCGCCGCGACCCGGCCGCCGCCCGGCAGGAAGCGTAGGTGTGTGAGCCGACCCAGAGCGAGCCGCGCCCTCGGGCCAGCGTGGGCAGGGCGCCGCAGCCTGCGCAGCCCCGAGGGCCCCGCGTCGCTCTCCCGAGCCAGGGTTCTCAGGAGCGGGCCGCGCAGGAGACGTTACAGGGGGTTGTTAGCGGCTGTTGGGAGAACGGGTCACAGAAACAGTCCCTTCCAAAGCCGGGGCCATCGTGGGGTGGGCGAGTCCGCCCTCCCAGGCCGGGGGCGCGGACCAGAGGGTACGTGTGCAGACGGCGGCGGCGGGCCCCACCTGGCCCGGGCGGAGACGCACAGCTGGAGCTGGAGGGCAGTCGCCCGTTAGTCCCGCAGGGGCCTGAACGCCCAGGGGTCGCGGCGCGTCCACCCGGTGCGAGTCAGGTGAGCAGGTCGCCATGGCGATGCGGCCCGGGGGAGCGCACGCCAGCCGCGGTCGGCATGGAAACGCTCCCTCTGGGAGCCGTCCGGGAGCGCCGCTGATTGGCCGATTCAACAGACGCGGGTGGGCAGCTCAGCCTCAGCGCTGAGCCGGGTCGCCTCCCAGGCTGGAATCCCTCATCACTTGGTACCTCCCTCCCCGCCCTGCCCGGCCCCGCCCTTCCCCGCCCTACCCCGCCCGGCCCTGCTCCGCCCTGCGCCGCCCGGCCCTGCTCCGCCCTGCCTACCACCTCTTAACCCGATCCTCCAGTGCACTTGGCAGTTGTTCCAGATACATAGAAAGATATCGCCGGGAAGAGCTGGGCCCTATTTGGGGTCCAGGCAGGTTTTGAGGCCTCCTATCTGGTGGGAGGAGGCCGCAGTGCACCACCCTGCTTGTCACTTGGGATGGAGACCGTCTTTCCAGCAGTCATGTACCCTGGATCTTTTATTGGGGGCTGGGGAGATGAGTATCTCTGCTGGGAAAGACAGGGGCTCCCAGATTTCAGCTTCCAGGTAACGTGGGTTTAGTATCCCGACTTGGAGGCTTGTCAGAATGTTTCTCTCCTTCCAGCCCAACACGAGGTCTTGGGATTAAAAAAAACCCCTCAGAGATTCAAATGACTGTTTTGATTCAGAGCAACTTTGATCGCTTGTGTGGTCGCTCATGCTCTTTCAGCACTAACAATTGCTGGGAAGATCAGCAATTAGTGTTAGTCCCTTTGCTTGGTGCTCTCCCTCCTAGAGGTTCTCTTGTGTCCTTGGAGCCCCGGGTGGACAGGGTTGAGTAACCAGCCTGTCTCTCTTTCCCTGGTAGCAGCAGCCCCTGCAGTCTGAGGCAATGCGCTGCAGCAACCCCAAGAATGGAGTTGTGCTGGCTACAGTGGCCCGAGGTCCCGATGCTTGTCAGATACTCACCAGAGCCCCGCTGGGCCAGGATCCCCCGCAGAGGACAGTGCTAGGGCTGCTAACTGAAAATGGACAGTACAGGAGGACCTGTGGCCAGGTAATGACTCAGACGCACTGGGAATGATGCTTGTGGAGAACGGCTCTCCTCTTTGGTGCCAGGTGCTTTTCTCTTGCCTTTGTACCTACAGCTCCCCCTGAGTATTACAACCCTGGAATCTGGACTACAGGGAAATTGATCTTTCCTTTCCTTTCCTTTGTCTTCCTTTTTTTTTTTTTTTTTTTTTTTTTTTTTTTTTTTTTTTGAGACGGAGTTTCACTCTTGTCGCCAGGCTGGAGTGCAGTGGCGCTATCTCGGCTCCCTGCAACCTCTGCCACCCGGGTACAAGCAATTCTCCTGCCTCAGCCTTCTGAGTAGCTGGGATTACAGGCGCCCACCACCACGCCCGGCTAATTTTTGTATTTTTAGTAGAGATGGGATTTCACCATGTTGGCCAAGCTGGTCACCAACTCCTGACTTCAGGTGATCTGCCCACCTCGGCCTCCCAAAGTTTTGGGATTACAGGCGTGAGCCACGGTGGCAGGCCAGTTGATTTCTTAAGATCACCTTGAGGGGTTCGGTGTTCAGCTACAAATAGTGATTAGTTTTCTTTGTTATTTTTTCCACTATCAAGGAAATAGGTCTAGGAACTGTTTGGATTATGTGTATTAAAGTAATTTAAGGGCTGGGCTAAAAGGAAATGTGAATGCTTCCAAATAAACTGTGGAAGTGGGGTTCCTCCAGGTCAGAGCAGTGTTCACGTTGATGCAGGCTGTGCTTAAAGCAAACCTGGATAATCTTGGCTGTGTTCATTGGGGATAGTGTTAAAATCAGGATTAGATTAGGCTAGACTCGATTACTCCAAAAAGTGTGCTTTGAAAGCAGATATCTTCCCAGTACTGACTAAGCAGCTATGCTAACAGGTAATGGTCCCTCAGGTATTAGTTGTGTGAACTTAACTGATCATAGATACCTTGACAGACGAAAACTATACCTTTCCTATTCCGTAGGTGAGAAAATCTGAAAGGTTTAAGCCTCTGCCAAAAGAAAGTTATGGTAGAAACTAGATTAGAAGCCCCTCATCTACTGACTCTTCACGTGATCTGTTCAAAACTTTGGAGAAAATTGAGTGGAAGTGGTTTTAACAAATTTTAATTTGCTTAGCGATGTTTGCTTTTTAAAACTTAAAGCCCGAGACTTGGTTCTTATGAATTGTCAGTTGTGCTTATGTTGAGTGGTCGCATTTTAAATTCCCAGTTGCTAACCTCTTATGTTACCTGGTGCCACTTCTGCATTTCACTGTACCTATCCTCTATAACCTGCTTAGAAATCTATTTTGTACCTTCGTTTCTCTGTTTAATCCTCAGTAACCTCCTCCTTCATGCTCACTCTCAGCTGATGACTTTGTATCTTATTTTCCTAAAAATATAGAAGCATCCAGAAGAGAATCTGCACATGTTCCTGTGTGCCATATAATCTGCCATCCACAACCTGTTATGTGTCTGCTATGTCCCTGCTCTCATGCGAGGTCGCCCCCCCACCCCATGTGTACAATATACTCGTGTCTTCTTGTTTCTTCAAGGATGTCACTCTAGCCACTTTTCTTTCTCTCGTTGGTTTTTTCTTTTCTACTGGGCCCAACCTGTAAGCGTACAAATATATTGCCATTTTTCCATCTTAAAAACCTTTCAACTAAACGCTCCCGCTGAGTGTTACAACCCTGGAATCTGGACCACAGGGAAGAAGTTGATTTCGTAAGTTCACCTTGACTCGTCCCTTTTTCAGCTAGAAATGGTGATGAATTTTCTTTGTCAGTTTTCCAATATCAAGGAAATTGGTCTAGGAACTGTTTGCATCATGTTGATTAAAGTAATTTAAGTGCTTAAAGTAATTTAAGTAATGGGACACAAGCTGTCCCATTTAAAGCCACCTATCTTGAGAGTTTGTCATATCTCGACATATACAATGTTGCCTTTCCCACTAACATGTAAGCTCCATCCAGGTGTTGATTTAGGTTGTCATGTTCACTGTTGTGTGTCCATTACTTTGAACAGTGCCTGGACCTGACCCGGATGGCACACAGTGTCTGTTGGATGAATGCTGTCTCTAGTTCTTTTTCTGCTCTATTTTGACTCAATTAATAGTCTTTTCCTTCCTCGACTGATCAGCATTTATTTGACATGGTTGATCATTCTTTTTTCCTTGAAATAATTTCTTCTCATTCAGTTCGTAGAACATCACTCTCCAAGTTTTCTACCTAGCTCATTGGCCGCTCTTTGATATTCTAATTGTTACTTATATATCCAGTCTCTACAAGTTAGAACGCCCTGTGGCCTAGTCTTTGATCTAAATCTTGCACTCACTCCCTTTAGCCTCTTAGTCTCCTAGCATTAAACACTCTCTATTCGGTGGACTGATATTTCTATTGCTGGCCTGGGCCTCTGAGCTTTATTGCAGGCTCACATATTCAGGAGTCTACTTGGCATCTCCACTTAGATCATATAGTAAGCAACTTCATGCTTGTGTAAAACGAAACACTCATCCTTTTCCCTACTCCCAGACTGCTCTTCCCAAGTCTTCCTTATCTCAGTAAATGGAGTATCCATCCTTCCTGTTATTTAGCCTCCAAACTTTTGTCTTCCTCGATTCCTATTTTTCTGTCACCCCACATCTAATCTAATGAGAAAATATTATTAGCTCTACTTTTTAAATGTCTAGAACCATTTTACTCTTCACGGTTTACAATTACTTCCGTGGTTCAAATCCCTACTGTGTCTCACTTAGAATTTTCAAGTTTTGTAATTGATTGACTTACTTACTCTCCACACCTATGCACAACCGGAATAATCCTTTTAAGACATAAAAAGATTATACCACTCCTTTGTCCCAAATTCCAGTGGCTCCTGTCCCTGAATAAAAGCCAATTCTTAGATCAGCTTTGGCAAGCCAACAAAAACAAAATAATAGTAATGAAAACTAATCCTTAATTGGCCTATGGTAAGTCCTTCATGATTGGCCTCTTTTCTTTCTATCTTCATGCCCTATATGACTGTCTCACTCTGCTCTGTTTGCTCCTACTGTATCTTTTCTAGTTTGTTTCCTTCCTCTCCCACAGACTAGAATATAAACTCCGTCAGGTAGTTCTTTTTAAACATTTTGTTCACTGCTAAATTCCGGGCATGAGAAAAACTTCTAACACATAGTAGATACTCAGTAAATATTTGTTTATTAAGTGTATGTCCCAGCCTATGGACACAGTATCTATGTAGCAAGAGTCAAACTTGGCAGTAACTTGGAGTCCTGGTTATAGCAAGAGTCAAACTTAGCAGTAACTTGGTTATCTGGTTACAGTAACTTATGACTGTGACTCTTTGTTGTCTTTGTTATTTCCCCCCCATTACTACCATAAGTGTTCACTTTCCTACTAGACATAAATCATATATTTAACTTGGTAAATAAAAAGGAAAGTTATGGAACCACCTACTAACTTAGAAGTCGCCTTCAACAGTACCCATCAAGATACATTATAAACAAAACGGTAAAGTGGTAGACAGAGCTGGCATTTGCATAAATATAGCTCAGGTTCATAGAGCTTGCCCACCTGCCGTGATTCAGCTGACATTCACGCCGTCTCGCGTGGCTCACCTTAATATGCAACAGTGTTTGATGCATTATGCTTGTTCACTGTGGTGGCACCACAGTTGTTCCCATTGTTCATGTTATAAGAATAGAGAAAAAGGAGAAGTGACTGAGAAAATTCCCCAAGAGTAAATGCATTATGTCATACGTAAAGGTTCTGTGGCTTGTAAGAGAAGTTAGCAGCATTTGGAAGTTTGGAAACTTCCAAAATCATCATGTTTCTTAATAACTGGGTATGAAATGGAAGCATTATAGGGCCCTTCTGGCTAAAAAGTTATTTATTTAAGGAGGAGGGGAATTGTAGGAACTCAGTCACTGCATCAAGAGTTATGCAGACTACTTATAAAATCTCATGATACTATAAATATAAAAGCCAATTTACAGTTTTGCCTTTATATGTGGTACCTATTTCATTTTGTAAGAGAGCTATAGGTTTTCTTTTTTCTACAATCTTGAGTTTCCTTTGATAACTATGTGAGGTAGATTAAAATTTTAGGTAGCTCTTTCTCCAAATATCAAATGTAGACGAAGATAAGGGGGCAAAAATTACACTGTTGAGGATTTATTCTTGGAATTAAGTTGCCGACATAGATTTTTCAGTTTAGAATTTATCTTACCTTCCCAGGCTGTTGGTTTGAGTTACAGAGGTTCACATGGCCTCTGTGGTCTTTGACGTGGCCTCTAACAAAAGATTTAAATGTTTTTTAGGGGATCACAAGAATCAGGTGTTATTCTGGATCAGAAAATGCCTTCCCTCCAGCTGGAAAGAAAGCACTCCCTGACTGTGGGGTCCAAGAGCCCCCCAAGCAAGGGTTCGACATCTACATGGATGAACTAGAGCAGGGGGACGGAGACAGCTGTTCGGGCAGAGAGGGGATGGCGTTTGAGGATGTGTATGAAGTAGACACCAGCACACTCAAGTCAGACCTGCACTTCCTGCTGGATTTCAACACAGGTAACTGACTTGCCGATGGCTGATGGCTGATGGTACCCTGTATTTAAAACTGCCTGCAGCATTCAATAGCTAGTACCTAGCAGGAGAAAAACAGCAAGTGATAACTATATTCACAGCTGCCTGTGGAGGGTTAGTGGATTGGACAAATGTTTAAATTAAATGAGTTATCTGACAATGTTGAACTCTTGCAGTTTCTCCTATGCTGGTAGATTCATCTCTGCTCTCCCAGTCTGAAGAGATATCCAGTCTTGGCACAGATGTGACAAATGTGACTGAATATGCTAAAGAAATTTATCAGTACCTTAGGGAAGCTGAAGTAAGTTTTCCCACCTTCTACTTCAATCTTCGGGACCCAAACTCTTATTATTAAGATAAATTATAAACTCTTGGTTCATAACCACTAGTGAATGGCACTCTTATGCCAGCTAAACATAAGAATATCTATGAAAAATAATAATTGTGATGGCAAGTAGCAATTGCTTGGACTATTTCTACATGATTCAAAGGGTTTATATGTTAAATATTTTACTCTTAGGAATAATTCATATTGCCATTCTCCCCTGCCCCCCGCAACCCCATGTTATTTGCTAAACAATTACTTTACAGAACCAGAAATTTACACTTTCTTCCTTGTTATGATAAAGATTTATTTGGCTTTGATCAGGATCTTTCCAACCTTTGCTTGTGAGATTTTTAAATAGTAACTGTATTGTGGAATGATCTTTCTGAAATTGCACCTACTTAAATATCAAACCCTTTTCCCAACCAGATAAGGCACAGACCCAAAGCACACTACATGAAGAAGCAGCCAGACATCACAGAAGGCATGCGTACGATTCTGGTGGACTGGCTGGTGGAGGTTGGGGAAGAATATAAGCTTCGAGCAGAGACCCTGTATCTGGCTGTCAACTTCCTGGACAGGTTCCTTTCATGTATGTCTGTTCTGAGAGGGAAATTGCAGCTCGTGGGAACAGCAGCTATTCTTGTGGCTTCGTAAGTATTCTTTTAGCTTTCATAATATGAAACTATCACTTGTCAAAACACTGAATTTTTGTCCTCCATTTCTTATTGAAGAAATGCAATGCTTGATAATTAAAACTATTCATGTGTCCTTTGATAAAAGATCATCCTCTTCACAGGATTGACTGAGAAACGGAATCTTACCACAGGTTTACTCTTCAATCACCTGGTTGTGATTTATAGCAACAAGTTCAATGTCATGACTAAGGCAGCCATCAGCTGAAATTCAGGATCTAATTTAACTATTTTGCAGTGTAGCCTTTTGGCTATTTCCTATATATTAAGTCCTATTTAAAGACAGTGTGGTTACAAAAAGCTATCTTCATGATCTAGCAAATGGCCCATAACAACAGGTTTATTTGGTTACAGTGAATAAACTACTTCAACGGGTTCCTGTTACTATCAGTCATTCATGACAGCACCTAATTGTGTGGGCTGGGTTGTGGCTGAGCTACTTTTAAGTGACCTGTCGCTGAGTGGTAGTTTCTTTTCTCTTCTTTTGGTCTCAAACATTCCATTGCTAATGCGTAAAAACTTGCCAAAATTCCCCTAAAGAAAGGGGAAACAAAGGCAGAAGGAAAGAATTGATCATAGTGAAATTATATCATTATGTCTCTTGGCTATAAGCATCATTTGCTAATTCAGTGGAGAAAGTCGAACAGCATCTTTTTAAAAACTAGAGGCCTATGGAGTTTGTTTCTATCATTGTGTTAATCCTAAGACTTTTTTCTATGAAATGATTTGAGGTCTGTAGAATGTGTAGGAATTTACCTGTAGTGTCTGTCATTCAGAATCTTTCAGCGTATCACAGGCCCAAAGCTAAAATTCTCAGTTGGAAATTATTTGTTACGACTCCTAGCAGTAAATATAACATATCCTTGTAATAATCATGCTCTTGGTCCAGAAACAAGCTCCTAATATTTTCATAGCCTAGAGTCATTTAGTGGTATTTAAGTGGATATGTGGCTGCAAAGTAAGTCTGCAAGGGCCATGTGAAGAGGCATGGCTTATGGTAGCACAGGAGGAGAGCTATAGGTTCCAAGTTTTACTTCTAAAATCTCTTCCTTTCCCAGGAAATATGAAGAGATATATCCTCCTGAAGTAGATGAGTTTGTCTATATCACCGATGATACATACACAAAACGACAACTGTTAAAAATGGAACACTTGCTTCTGAAAGTTCTAGCTTTTGATCTGACAGTGCCAACCACCAACCAGTTTCTCCTTCAGTACTTGAGGCGACAAGGAGTGTGCGTCAGGACTGAGAACCTGGCTAAGGTGTGTATGCCGTGTGATTTCCAGGAACTTCCAATGCCAAGGATTGTAAAAATCAACTTTTCCCAATTATCCTTCAGTTCTTTCCTTTTCGGTTTTCTTCCCACAGGCCCAGAAAAACTGTTCCAGTGCTGAAAGAGAGCTAATTTTAAAAACCCAGCTTTTGGTTATAAGGCATTACTATTGACTATGTTTGGCAGGCACGGGTTGTCTAATCACCCAACTATTCAAAAATTTAAGCTTGGAAACTGTTCCCTTATTGGATACAGATCACATAAAAGCAAAACCTCCTAGGTTTATACAATGGGAACAAAGTAAATCTAGTTTAATATAGTTCTAGTCTCATCCTGATATATTATGAAGTAATGAGCATTATTTGGTTGTTTGGAGTTACAGAACTTTAGTTGAAGGCATTGAAGTATTGGTTTGGTCAACTGGGTTTCCAGCGACCATAATCTAGGATATCTGGTATTTATGTGCTGTGCATTGAGTAGCAGAGATGTCCACATGTTTTACTATGTTTCTTCTAACATGAGATGTTCCCACTGGTGCTGTCCTAGTCTCTGAACTGCATGCATTTGCCTGATAGATTAATAGCTTTAATGTTTTTGTCTTTTGGCTAAAATCTCTGTTCCAATTCCAGCTGCCAGAGCAGTGCTACTTTATCTCAGCATAAACATAAATGACTAGCATTAGAAAAGTAACCTATCACCTATCCTTTGGGAATAGGCCAAATACTTTTGTAATGACATTTTACCAAAACATAAATGTTACTATTGTTATAGACAGGCATACCAATTACTAACCCAGTAAACCATCCTGAACATCTATTTCTGTAGATGCCGACTGAACAAAGATAAGACACCATTTATTTCCTTGCCATTTCCAGGCTTACTTGTGACCTTAGTCACATTTCTAATTCCAATGTGTTTTCTTCTTTTGTGCTTAGTATGTAGCAGAGCTGAGTCTACTTGAAGCAGACCCATTCTTGAAGTATCTTCCTTCATTGATAGCTGCAGCAGCTTTTTGCCTGGCAAACTATACTGTGAACAAGCACTTTTGGGTAAGATCTAACTTCTTTCTAGATGAAATTCAAGGTCTGTCTAGAATGGGCTTGCCTCTTATGAGGGCAAGTTAGTTCATTAAGGATCTAGTCATCTTGACAGCAGACCACATGCTGCTGAGTCTTCCAGGTCAGTCTTCATGGCTTTGACTCAATGGCTTCACTCTATGAGGAGTGAGATTGCAGGAAGTCAAGGAGGTAGTATCACATGCTCCTTCAACAGAAGCAGGCCTGGAAACCTCAGTGCCCACTGTTGTTCAGGGAGGGTCCTTGAGGTACATTGACCGCTTCAAGCAAAAGTTGTTGACTTTTACCCTCTATATTAAAAAACAAACAAACCAACCAACCTGGGTCCAGTTAGGATGGCCAGAAGATTGCACTTCAGGCTTTCAAGACAACAGGGTAGTAAAGTGTTGCCTCTTGCCCAAGAAGGTGACAACATCAGAAATGGACCCCTAGGTTTGGTTCTGAAGGCTCACTGTTGTACTAAAAGAAGTGGGGTGTCTACCTTTATTTTCATGAATGCTTATGTTTTTTTCTGCTGCATTTTCCTTTTTAAAAAGTTTTCTTTTACCTTTTTAAAGCAGTTCTTATTTCAGCACTGCAGTGTTTTGACTAAAAATTGTTCATATTGTGTACAAATAGAATGGTCAGGCAAGCAGGGCTCTATAAGGACCAGTAAACATTTCACTCATGAGGGAACAAGGAAAGTGATCCAGCCCCAAGATAAGCATTATAAATTTATAATATGAGAAAATTTAGAGCCCTGGCTGTACTTTCTGATATTTTCCATCTAAAGTCTCCGAAGGCGGTTCTGGTTTCTTTTGAGATGAATGTGAATATTTACTAAGGGATTAATTCCCTTTATTTCAAATTGGTTATTTTCTGATTTCTAATATAAAGTTATATGAAGCAATTTTTTTCTTTTGTCTTGATTAGCCGGAAACCCTTGCTGCATTTACAGGGTATTCATTAAGTGAAATTGTGCCTTGCCTGAGTGAGCTTCATAAAGCGTACCTTGATATACCCCATCGACCTCAGCAGGCAATTAGGGAGAAGTACAAGGCTTCAAAGTAAGTCACTGACATTTTCATATCTTAGCTCTCTATGTAAAGCTTAATGGGTTATAGTAATGGTTACTAGATTAAAAATAGATTAAATTGTATATCTGGTGCCAGGTTGGAAAAGTAAGGTTACGTGTACAAATTTACAAATAAATTTGAAGAGATCTAGATTTATAATTTGTCAGCTTTTAATACTTGTAGTCAGCCAGCTTCCTTCCATTCTGTTAAAATTACTGGAAAGTTTTCTGTGGCCTGAGATTTTATTAAACTGAAGTCCTTGGCTTGTGCTGACCTTGCTTTTGGTCTTGTTTCAGGTACCTGCGTGTGTCCCTCATGGAGCCACCTTCAGTTCTTCTTCTACAATAAGGTTCTGAATGGAAGCACTTCCAGAACTTCACCTCCACATCAGAAGTGCCATTAATTGTCAGAGGCTTCTGCAGTTTGGATCAACTAATGTTGTTTACAATATAGATGACATTTTAAAAATGTAAATGAATTTAGGTTCCCTTAGACTTTAGTAAATTTTAATATAGTCCAACATTTTTTAAACAATAAACTGCTTGTCTTATGACCATGTGTTAGACTTATTTACTAATTGTCATGGCTGACATATTCGTCTGGAATGTTTGTTGAGAGTATTAAAAGTGTTATCTCTATTTCAAGCATCTTCAAAACTGGTTTTGTAAACGTGGCATGCTATTAGGATTAAGTGTTCCAAGGCATCCAGGGATATTCGTGCTTGATAAATGGCTACTCTGAGGCTTTTTTCCTTCCTGTCTCTTTATTTCCCAGGTAGCTCTCCATAGATTAGTAAAGGAAGGAAGGGACAGCCTAGACAGATGGGTGAAGGGATTTGAATAAGCACTGCCTGCTGTAGCTTCACTCCACCATCCTAGTCAGTAAGACAGGGGTTGAGGCCCAGATGTAGTCACATACTTCTTAGGGGTCACTGACATTTAATTCTAATCCAAAGATGCCATGCTTATTTGTACAGGGCTGCTATTATGTCTATGATCAGGTTTGATTTAGGTACCCATTAAGCATATATTTCTGTCTTAGAAGATGCTTTGGGAGGTAGAAAAAGCAAATTTCACCTTCAGAAGGAACATCAGAATAATGAACCCAACCCATCAGCTGTGTCTCTTGGGAGACCTCTGCCCTAAGCTTTGGTAGGACTTGAATTATTCCTGATCTTTCGTGACCTATGGTTCACTAGTCTATGTATGGTTTCTCTCTCCTTTCCTCTCCTCTCCTCTCCTCTCCTCTCCTCTCCCCCCCCCCTCCCCCCCCCCCCCCCCTCCCCCCCCTCCCTCTCCTTTCCCTCCCTCCCCTCCCCTTCCCCTTCCCTCCCCTCCGGTCTTCTCTTCTTCTCACTTTTCAGATGGAGTTTCAGTCTTGTCACCCTGGCTGGAGTGCAGCAGCCTGATCTTGGCTCCATAACCTCCACCTCCAGGTTCAAGCGATTCTGCCTCCAGCCTGAGTAGCTGAGATTACAGGTGTCCGCCACCACACTCGGCTACTTTTTTGTATTTTTAGTAGAGACAGTTTGACCGTGTTGTTCAGGCTGGTCTTGAACTCCTGACCTCAACTGTTCCTGCTCAGCCTCCCAAAGTGCTGGGATTACAAGTGTGAGCTACCATGCCTGGCACACCTGGCTAATTTTTGTATGCCCTGGCACCCTGGCTTATTTTTTTTTTTTTTTTTTTTTTTTTTTTTTTTTTTTTTCGTAGAGGTGGGTTTTTTTTTTTTTTTTTTTTGCCATATTGTCCAAGCAGGTCTTGAACTTCTGGGCTTGAACCCTTGGGCTCAAGTGATCCATCCACCCACCTTGACCTCTCAAAGTGCTGGAATTACAGGCGTGAGCCAATGCGTCTGCCCAGCACTTAGGTAGGCTACAAGATGGGTAAAATGGAAAACAAAACAATTGTTTTGAATTTCTTTTAAAGATTGGAAGGAAAAATGAGTAGATTTGGCCTCGAATGTGGGTGGTGCTTATTGGAGATTAAATGTGAATTTTGCATTGTGCTCTTGTTATCACCAAAATGAGTAGCCCTGGACCAGTAGTTATTGAGCCCTCTGGGCTATGTGTGCCTCTGCAGAGGGGCCTCTGGAGAGGGGATTCCATGGGGCGGTCCCAAAGACTTGATTTGCTTTTTCTGCCTCCAAAACCTCTCAAGAGGATAAGAAATCCATATCTTCTAGATTCCTTTACATAGAAGAAATTACACTCAGGCAGGTTTTGGTGAAATGGTTATAGATGAAATTCACTGCAGCTTTTGTTTCTTTCAAGCTCTAATGAAATTATAAACATAAAAATACAGCCATATTTTATGAAGACTTTAAAAAATTTTAAAGTAACCAGAAGTTCTTAAAAGATTTTAGCATTCCCTCTACCCTGCTTTTTTTTTCCCAGCAGATAAATGTTCTCAAGGTGTCTCCATTTCTGGTTCCAGTGAAGAAATTATTTCCCTAAATGTTTTGACATTTATTGCACATGGTTCACAAAGGGGATACAGGACCTGTATTAATACTGAATTCTGTTTTCATGTTATATGATTAAAAACTTGTTATTCCATATTCTAATATATGATTCTGTGTTTCTGTTCACTGCATGAACATGTTGAACTTTCCAACTATCCTTTTGTACTTCAAAAGGATGACAGACAATGGCTTCCTCCCAAGTGTGGAGTGGGAGAGGGCAGTTCTGTTTTTTTGTTGTTGTTTATTGTCTTGTTTCTGAGGCAGAGTCTCCCTCTGTGGCTCAGGCCGGAGTGCAGTGGGAGAATCATGGCTCACTATCACTACAGTCTCGACCACCCAGGCTCAAGCGATTCTCCCACCACAGCCTCCCAAGTAGCTGGGACTAACGTGTGTGCCACCATGTCCAGCTTGAGGGCAATTCTGGGTAAGGTTTTGGCGGTAGAAGTGCTATGTGTGTCCCTTTCAAGCCTTAAGGCTTTGGACCTGGCTAGGGAAGCTTCCTCTCATCCTTTGCCCACTTGTGTTGGTTGATCACTTTCCTATGATACGTGTTTGTTTTGAAATGGACCCAGACACAATAACATTTTCTTTCACTGGTAATATTCTTACTTTACAATGTTTTGTGTCAGCTAGAGGGGACCTTGTAGAAATAGGTTCTCCACTGTGAATTATTTTACAAAGGAGCTTTTGTTTCTAAAACCAAATACAAAATGTAGACTTTCAATTACAAAAAACATCTTATAGGACTGAACACGTAACTTTTATGTTCTTTGCTGGTGGTGGTTTGCCCATACCCCATTCCGACCCACAACACACACACCCACTGATTGCAAAGGCCTGACCCTTATCTTAGACTTCCCTTTCTTAGTGCTTTTTTATATCTCTGAAATACTTTATCTAAAAATAGAAGTAAAACCATCCCCTGTGTATCTCCCGCCCAGTTTCAGAGGGAATAGCAACCTGTGTGTCCCTTCTTTTATACCATTCATTTTCTTCCCTGAATTTGGTGTTGATCAAATCCGTGCATAATTTTTATACACTCTTGTGCCATATAATGATGTTTTGGTCAACAACGGTTCGCATATATGATGATGGTCCCGTAAGATTATAATACTGTATTTTCACTGAACCTTACCTATATTTAGATATGTTTAGATACATGAATACTTACCATTGTGTTAGAGCTGCCTACTGTATTCAGTACAGTAACATGCTGTAGAGGCGTGTAGCCTAGGAACAAGAGGCCATAGCATACAACCTAGGTGTGGAGCAGGCTATCCCACTGAGGTTTGTGTGAGCACACTCGACAGAGTTCACACAATGATGAAATTGCCTAACAATGCATTTCACAGAACACATCCCCATCGTGAAGCAATGCGTGACTATACATCATAAGAATGTGTCCATAAACAATAATGTTTGCTTTTAAAATGTAATGATTATTGACTCTTTCTCACATCCTTCAGTGATAGAGATCTTAGGCGGCATTGTTTTTTGAGATTATATGAATAAGTAGAATCCTAGTTATTTATACTATTATATTGTCTTACATGCATAAGTAGAATCCTAGTTGTTTATACTATTGTCTTATATGAATAAGTAGAATCCTAGTTATTTATGTTAGTGTATTATCTTATATGACTACACCATGATTATCTCTTCTGTTGATTTTCCCACATCTTTCTCCCTACCCCACTCCTTGTCAGCCAGAAATGGAAATTGGTTCAGACAGGGCTGCGGGTGTGAGAGTGCCACACCTGTCTGCCTCTGGAGGCTTTTTAACCTGTGACTTCAGACAGATCCAGGCCTTTCTGAGGAACTCATGCATGACCATGAATGTAGGGGCCCTTGTTGAAGTGGCCATGAGAAAGAACTATAGGAACAGCATTTGCCAACCCTTTATTAGCAGCAAAAGCCCAAGAAATTAGATGGATGTATTCAAACCGTTCAGTTGTTTCTGTTTTCCCAGTGTGTTTTTGCCACCAGAGTTAAAATATCTAGACATGTTACCACTAAAACTTGGAAATGGACATGTATACTCTTTGCTGAGGGTGCCCTTGCCGGTGCCACAGCCAGGCTTTATGTTCCATGTGTCTGCACTGTGGGGATGGGGTCTGAGGCCGGGGAGGCGCTCCTCAGAGCTTATGCCTGTGGTCCTACTGGCATGCTGGCTCCAGGGCAAGTTCCACCTGCAAGACCCAGGTCTCCTAGGATGGTTTTTGTTACCCCAGGGAGGATGTCCCATTCATCACAAGATGAATAGAAACTGACTTTAGGCAGCAAATTGTTTAATATGTCTTTCATCAGTGATTCCTGGACTTGATGGTGAGTTTTGAAAACCTAAATGGTCAGTGCTCAGTGAGCCAGAGTAATGAGGGAGGAGGCCTAAGGGGAGAAGCATAAGGACAAAGGACCTGGGAAGGAGACCATGGGTAACTGAGTCAAAGCAGGGTCTGTGGATGGTATGTTCTTGAAGAAGATGAAGCTTTCTGAGCAGGTAAGTTGACTGACTGAGCTGATGGGCCCGTTCACTTGCCCAGAGTAGGTGTCTGCCCAGGCCGATGGGTACTCGCTTCTCCTTAGTTGTCTCCTCCCTTTCACTGTGGCTGGATATCCTCCTGAGCATCTCTGTGTGTTTGCTCATGTCAATCAAGACACTATTATTTGCATCAACCTGTTGCTACCTGCAAACTTTGACTAGCTAACTGGTGAAGGCGAGAGCTATTCCCACTTTGCAACAAACACACACAGGAGTTGGATAGTTACGTAGTTTCAGCCACTCACGCACTCACGGCAAGTGCATAAATGTTCTCAACTGATTTATAGTTATGTTAACTTTTTATCCTAAATATCCTTCCCTCTTTCCCCATGTTTACTCTTGACATTGATCGCTCTTTCCCTGCACTATCAAGTGTTACCTGTAGGACAGGGACTTACATCCATTACAGACATCCCATCTTTATGATCAGGGTATGGGCTATCACATTCAAAAACAAAACCACCTTTTTCTCCCTCTAGTTTGTAAGCAAAGAGAGAAAGAGAATACTAAAAGCTACAATCCCAGAAGGAATCTACTGTTGGGCTGTTGGACTGCAGGGGGCTGGGAGACATGATATCTATATCTATATATCTATATCTAGATAGATAGCGATATAGATATAGATACAGATACAGATATAGATATAGATATATAGATATATATGCCCCTGCCCATGGAACAAATGGAATTCCTTTTAATTGCATGGACAGTTGCAAAGTTGCACAGTACCCAAGGCTGGGAGAGCAGCCAATCCTGGTCCTTTATCAAGCGCGAACTCAGCTAATGGAGACGGTGCATCAAGACATTTACATTGAAGCTCAGAATGGAAGCTTGGGCTCTGCACCTACCAGCTGCTGGGCTGTGCCTATGTGTCACCTTGCTTCTGCAAGCAGCTCTGGCTGGAGTTCGACTCAAGCATGACAGGAAAGTACTATCAGGATGCTTTCTGTGCTCTGCTGCTCTAGCCTCAAATTGAACTAGAGATCAGACATTGGATAGATGTTGGGATCAGATGCTGCGGGGAGGGAATGGGGTCAACTTGGGTTCAGCTGATTAAGCTCAAGCCTACTGGAAAGGTTTTTCTCCCCTTGCTTTAGTCTGCTATGGAAACAATTAACATCCTGATGTAAATAAACTTGTGGAGATGAATATTTCTCATTGTCACAGTACTGACTTTAAACTTGTGTCATCTAAAATGTTCTTTCTGCAATTTGGGTGCTTCTCAGCATCTCATTCTTTTAGGAGAATTGAAACTGAG